GGTGCGTATGCATAAAAAAGTTGTGTGCTCCAGGTTCTACACCCACATTGTGATGTATTAAAACCAATGTTGTGTGAAAGTGTGTGTATATTTACACACACTTTTCACCTGCTGTGAGAATGTGCAGCAGACACACAAAGTTTTTCAGTCGACAGTTTTAACTCACAAAGTCATGAATCTGAGCTGAATCCACAGAAATATGACTCTGTTGTGTTTTCTGGATGTAAGGAGCGTCTGAACACGCTGTTAGATTTTTATTTTAGTTTTTATTGTTTAAACTGAACCATGATGAAACTGAAAATCATTTAACCTCAGACAAGAAAATAGATCAGTCTAAAACTGATCAGAGACCTTCAGTCCAGTCTGTAAACTGGTTTTATATTTTTGTCACATAGTTGAAAACCTTTTGGGTCCCGGGCCAGAAAAACCCGACACATTATGCGCGACATAAAATAAATAAAATAATAAAATAAAAAAGGCTGAAGAGAGGGAGCAAAATCAGATGCAAATGGTGTCTCACTGTACGGTAAGAATAATTATTTTTTTCTGTGTGTAACCTTCTGGTTGATGCTGAGTTGTGGTCGTAGTGCAGCAGCTGTTCAGGTAGATTGTCATGCCAGGTGTGTGCACCCTCTCCAGCTGGGAAGGTGTTCGTATGTGTCAACCTCTTTGGACATTTACCGTCTAATGAGCCTCAAATATTTATATTTTTTGCTAAACATCTCTAGGCTACCACTCGTACCCGCTGGTGGGGGTGGGGTGGGGGTCCATGGAAACGCAGGAGGAAAGGAGAGCAGAAAAACTGGATAACTTGATGTTTTTTTTTTTGTTTTGATTTTTAACGTCCGTTCAACACCGTGTTCAACTAAATAAACAACAACTAACCAGACTTCAACATCACATTCAGGAGATGTCTGTAAATTTCAGGAGAACCTCAGGCTTTGGTTATCCTGTGTGAATGCACCACATAAAACAATGTTACCCCACTCCTTATTTAGACAGTTTTCTCACTCATTCTCCATTTAATGTATAATTTTCCTGCATGAAAAAATCATTTCTGATCTCACAGAGAGGAATCTGAGGAGAATCTCACACACTGGACACATTTACTTCTATTTTACAGATTTAAATGGATGGTGTCAGGGGGAGGAGTCTCAGTTCCACGTTCATTGGGATGTATAAAGGAAAGGTGCGCAGGAACCTGCATACCCATGGGTTTATACATCTGAATATTTTGGTGTGGTGCACTTTTCTAAATTTGTCCGTACGTCAACTTTTAGTGTGAAAGATGCACAATCCTTTATGCATGAGGCCCTGAAGAGTGAGAGGAAATGAAGCAGGCCTGTGATCTGTTGAAGTCTTTTGAGGAAGTAGAGGCTGGCATCAAGAGGTGCGTGTATGACTTTTGTTGTTGTTTACAGTGTTGTGATAATACTGCCATTTTGAAGGCTTCATTTTAAACTAAACACACTCACATCCAAAGAAAGTCCTAAAGCTTTCAACCAGACCTTTGGGGTCCTGATTGTCTGGTCTGACCTGGGTCGTAGCCATGTAAACATCCAAAGACTCGTGAACCTGAAGTAGTCTCTGAGACTCACGGTGGACATGGCTGTGGCAGTGAAGATGAGCCGACCAGCAGCACAACCACTAACTTCCAGTCAGGATGGTGCAGTTTGGCAGGAGTTGGATCAGTGGTTCTCTGGGCTTATGACCAGCAGTTGGAATCCAGCGGCAGATCCAGTCCTGGAGGGCTGAGGAGGGCTGAGTGTTTGTGGAGGACCAGCTTAGACCTGGAAACCTCCACACATGGAGGCAAGGCAGAGGTGTGTTATACCCAAGACTTTCTGATGTGATAAAGAAGAGACGGTGGCCACATCTGTCTCATGAGTGAGGGTTTTTAGTAAGCTGAGGCAGAAATTGGCTCAAGTCATTCAAAGTCAGCCAGCGTGTATTTTTAAATTCCCATCTGGAGTTGGAGCAAAGACTTTTGATGAAAACAGCTTGGCAGAGAGCATAATGTGCAAGGACACGTTCACTTGTTGGACACTTTCATTTCCTGGTGTATTCTGACATGTTCTTTGTGTTTCTCCTGAGAGACTCAGGAGTTTCTTATGTTAAGAGGACATGACCAAAGGCACTAAGCAGTCAGGAGCTCATGGGTTAACATTTAGAGACACTCAGAATTATTTGTGCTAAAATCTGATTGAGCATCTGCAGCATGTGAGCCTTCTCATCACTGAATTACACAAGAAAGATACTTTTTTACATTAGTGCTATGACATCAGTAAGAGCTTAAAGGCATCCAGATACAAGTTCTTACATTTGGTGTTCAAAATTTTTTATCTTTTCTGACTCTGTTCATCTGTTTATTACATTTTCCACACCCACCGGTTAGACACACACACACACACACACACACCGGTTAGACACACACACACACACACCAGTTAGACACACACACCCACCTCTCTTCTCCTGACCTTCATAATCCTGTTAGCTTTGAGTCTATAGTTGCAACTGTCCACATATTAAATTAGAACAAGTATGACCTTACATCTGGATCACGTTATACGAGTGTGTGTGTGTGTGTGTGTGTGTGTGTGTGTGTGTGTGTGTGTGNGTGTTTAAACTCTGTTCAGTCAAAGTTAAACATGAAACATCAAAGTTCATTACAACTGGCCCTTCAGGGCCACCATCACTCTCATGTGGCCCTCAGTGAAAATGAGTTTAACCCCCCTGGTTTAGGTCAATACTTACACTTCTTTACCTGGTTTTTGGAGGTTTACAAAGATTTTCAGCCTTATTAGACACATTTACTTGRTTTTGAATGATGGTATGAATTAAAGATGATTTGCATTAGTTTTCAGTTTGACCAGCAGGGGTCACTGTTCAGGCTCAGCTCAGCAAAAATAAATTAAGAAATAAAATAAAATTCAAAAGCAAACACTAAAATGTGTTTTCACAAAAGTGACAGACAAAAAAATCAACATTTATCACAGGCTGCATGTTGGAGCAKCCTTCATGGTGGACGAATGAGTTCAGATCATTTTCAGAAAAAGACATGCAACACAACGTGTTTCTGTAAAACAAAACAACAACTGTGCTGCTTCCTTGTTTGTGATGTTTGGTACAAAGGTGTTGCTCAAATGTTCATCCAAAACACAAGAGATAAAATGCACCTGATCTCAGTAAAACAAGCTGATAGTTGAAGACGTTTCTTAGCTTTAATGGTTGTTTCCAGCAGGGGGCGCTGTTGTTCTGTGCAATACCCTGAAAATCCCAAATCTGTAATAAATGGTTTCAGTTTATAAAGTGTCTTCTTRCCCAGGCTCAGTAAAGCACTTAATGTTATTTCTGTGTCTCACACACATACAGAGCTGTTCTTACAGCACGTTCAGGTCTCTGCTTGTGCTGAAAATTCACTGCAGGTGTTTGGGATCAAGCTTCAAATCCTCTGAATGTCAGACAACCTGTCCACTGGACTACAATCACATAAGACTGTTCCCTAAAACAATGTTTTGAAGAGTTTAAACCACAAATTAATGTAGTTTAAAGGGACTGCACATGAACGTTTGTGCATAAACTTTGCACAGGATCAAACAATAATTGTAAATCAGGTTTGTGTYTGTTTGTTTGCTGTCCTCTCCAACCAGCCACAGGACCATCAGACCCATCCTGAGCCTGGTTCTGCTGGAGCTGGTTCCACCGCTGCCAGTGGACACTGTAATAAAGTGAAGATTCAACACAATCTGCTGGAATGGCTGYGAACTGCACAGTGCAGAGGAACCACATCTAGTGTAAATTATGGGTTAGATTGATTTATTTTATTTTGTTGTAAAGTACCATGTCCTGACATCTGTCCATCTCTTAAGAGAGAGACATGAACCATAAAGAGAGTAGAAAAAAACAGTAGTTACTCATATAATAATAATACTCCTGATGAGTAATTTAGTATATTTTGTTGTACAAAATGTACATTTTTTGTAAAAGTATTTTTAGAATGGCACTGTGATGGGCCTGCGACCTGTCGGGTCCAGTGACCCTGAAAGATAAAAGCAGGTAAAAGATAATGGATAGATGGATTGTTATAATAATAATAATAATAATAATGAAAATAATAATAATAATAACAGTTCTTGTCTGAACTGAATATCTTCTGTTTTTTCATTTAAACTAAGCTCAGTTGATATAAAGCCCATTTCATTAAGTATACTTCAAACAAATTTAACCAACACAAAGCAGTTTAAWGTTATTTTTATTTAGGCTGCTCCCTTTTTCAGCCTCAGGGAGAAAACTTTAGACAAAATCATCAGCAGCTGTTTGATGAAGCAGSCCTTCCTGACAGCCTGGGCTTGAAGCTGTGGCCTGAGGTTTAAAGACTGAAGTCCTGACCTTTCATGCACTGACACAAACTGTTTGTCCTAAAGTCTTTACTTGTTTTATAAGGAAAACCTGGTGTGCTGAAAAACAAACTGTTCAAATGTTTCATCTAACTTTAACAAATGAGCAGCCTGAGTACAGCATGCAGTGATGTCATTGCAAAGAAAAAGTTGTTCCATTGAGTGGAACAAGTCATATTTATAATGTTCTGTTGGACTGTAATYATCTCACTGACCTCAGGTACTTTCCACTTCAGTCTGTTTTTGACCAAGACTTCTCCCTGGGTTTGTGGGCAGCTGGAGGTCAGCACTGACGCAGCACTCCTCCATAAACCACTGGAACCACTTACTGTGTGTGCGTTCTATTGTTTCATGATGTGAAATGGAGCAGCAAGTTGGACAAACATTGGCTGGGGTGCTGTGGGAACCGACCTGTTGGCCCTGTGTGTGTTTGGATCATGATGTCAAGAAGAAATCCCTTTTTGTGTTGGACAGCTGGAGGTTTGGCCCAGAGCTCTGGAGTTGGAGCGGGATGCTTTTTCTGGCTCTGTATGTTGGTTAACAAAGACAGCCATAAGATTTAACACTTTATTTATTCTCAGCCATGACTACTACAGGACATTTTCAAGATTTATTGATTTTTATTGTTAAAGTAGAAAGATATGGCAAACAACAACATCTGGTAAATTTAAAGGTGATGAAAGGAAGAGCCAAYCTACTGCCAAATCTCAGATTTAGGAGGATCACTGTGACTTTTTCATGAAAGCCTTGAAGAGTGATTGAGGAGGTCATGGAGGTTTACACTTTGTGGGTCTAAAGAAGGCTCACGAATGTGTTCCCTGTGTGAGGGAACTGCTTTTAAAGGCAATCAAAACAAGAGCTACAATCAAAGCAAGTGCTGTGTCTGCATCCTCACAACAAGGTCAAGCTCATCAGGACCAGTAGGTGTTGGACTCCACCAGGGCTGCCCCATGTTTATAATCCAGGCTGTGGTGGTCAGAAACACTCTGCATTGTGCAGATGATGTGTTGGTATCTTCAACCTGAGGTGGATGGGATGAGGAAACSTTTCTTTGGTGTTGGAGGTGAGTTGATGCCTGAAGAGAAGGAGTTCAAAYGTTTGAGACATGAACCAATGGACCCAGGTTTTATCAGGACCTACTTCAGTCAGTGCTTAAGAAGGAGATGAACCAAACTTCAAACATTCTGATTCACTGMTCCTTCTGGATTCCAAGCCTTTTGTTTGTGAAGGTAAATGTAAGCACCTGGGAGCAGTTGGGCATGGTGGGGAGTCAAACCTGGGACTCTCTGGACCCAAGTCAACAAAACATGTCCTGTTTATTACAATTAACATTTTACTTTAAAAAAAACTCAAGACATTCATAATACTATTCTACATGCTTACTAAATGATATCTAAGGCAGAGTGAATACAAAAGTTCTTTTTGGTTAACTTTTTTAAATTTTAAGAGGATTTTGGTGACGTTTATGGTCTGTAGTCATAAGGTCAGTGTTTTTATACCTGTTCCAGGTAAGAGGTCACGATGTTGGCCCACCCAAAACAACTCTACAAAGAAACTCTAAGTGTGCAAAAATAAATTAGTAAATAAAAAGAAGTAAAACAATACACAAAATAAATTTAAAATGTTCTTTAATTCTGCCTTTCCTTTGTGTCCTTGGTTTTTATGAACTCTGTCAAATTTTTTTCTATCCATCCATCCATCCATCCATCCATCCATCCATCCATCCATCCATGCATTTATCATCCATCCATCCATAAATCAATCCATCCATGCATTTATCCATCCATCCATCCATCCATCCATCCATTCATCCATCCATCCTTCCATCCATCATCTAAACCCACTTCTTCCTTTCAGGGTCATGGGGGTTCACTGGTGCCCACATCCAGCAGTCACTGTTCGAGGTACACCCTGGACAAGTCACAAGTCCATCACAGAGTCACACAGAGATSAACAACCTTACTGTCTCACTCAAACATGGGGACAGTTTAGAGTTCCCAGTTAGCCTAACATTCATGTTTATGGTCTGTGGGAGGAAACCCACACATGCMTGSAGAGAACATGGAAACTCTATCCAGAACCGTCCCCGGGTCACGATTCAATCTGGCATTCTTTTCTCTGAAGACGGTGGCTCTACAAACTGAGCCACTGTGCTGCCATTTTCCCTAATCCTCACTAAATCACCAAACATCTTGATTAGCTCTATCTCTGATGTCTCTGTTTCCTCTTCTGTCTGTGCTGAATGTAACATAACTATGCACACTCTTATAGTTTTAGATTTTCTGTTGAAAATGCTATGGTCACAGCTGGAACATGTCGACACCATCTACTGGTTAAAAGGATTTTATTTAAAGGACCTATATCATGTAAAATCAACTTTGAGTTTTATATCATTCTTCCACCTGCGTAACGTTATCCTCTCATCAGAAACAAGTCAAAAGTCTTACTTAGACTCAGTCATGCATGTTTGAGAAATCCTGTAGTGTCCTGAGGCAGCAGGCAGGGGAGCAGAAACGACAGGTTGGACCTAGAACCGCCTTTTGGGATCAGCTCCTCCTCTGGGTCTGTGTCTCCAGGCTGAGCTTCCTCATCATGACTCATACCTCCCCCACCCCCAGGTCCGCCCCCGTGACTCCTGCAGGCCATGGCAGCAACAGCTAGCAAACACCCGGTGAAAACTGTCTGCTGAGCTCCTAATACTACTACTACTACTATTACTACTGCTGCTACTACTACAACTACTACTACTACTACTACTACTACTACTATTACTGCTACTACTACTACTACTACTATTACTGCTACTACTACTACTACTACTATTACTG